TCATCTCTCTGAAAACCAGAGTCTGAAAATCAGAGAATTGACGTTGGCTTGTGAAGTCAAAGCCAAATCAATTATAACATATTAAATGTATTTTATAAGTGTTCTATTTAAGATCTCCATATTTAAAGCCTCTAAATATTTCCATAAAATGTTAAAGTTGAGAAAAGTTCTTTGCTGGACTATAGTACTCTGCTAGATTTTTATTAGCATTTTCAAGGTCCAAATCGAAGGAAAATTTATAATACGTGAGACTCTTCTACCAAAATATAAGTATATAATTGCTTAACAAATAAAAGAAATCATTATTTTAAGTTAGTTTTTACAGTTTTATCAATTCTCGGAAATAATAACATTGTTGGTTATATTTATTACATTAGAACGATGCGGTTTACTTTGTGTCTAAACACAATTTATGACTTTTCAGTTATACATTTTCCGGCAGTTATTTTTATTTTTATTTCTTTGAAATGTCATGTATATGTGCGATGTACCATAATTTCTTGTACTATATATACAATATATATTGATATTTATAAACGGTGACTTTTGAGGAAAATATTGTTTTCTTCATATATTTTATTGTAAATTATATATATATTGCATTTCTAATATAATTTTTTAGATCATTACCTTAAAATAGAAAATTTCTCATTTTGACATTTGATAACTGACAGTAACTAATGACAGTTGACAATGTCAAACTTTGTCTTACCACCTTTCGGATAGTATCAGCTGCAAATCTCGTTTAAAGCTTAACATAGGTATGTATGATGATGTTAAAAAAGTCAGAATATTACTTGCCCAATATGGTATTTAGCTTCAGTACTAGCAATACTCAACAAAAAACCAAAAGTTTTCTTCTATTTACCAAAGCATGTGTATAAATAACTCTAGTGGGTAGTATTAAATAATTTCCGTTATTTTACTATGAGCACTCTTAATTGTAAACACTTATCTTAAATTATTATTGAAAGGCTTTTGTTGTTATATCGGTTCAGGGATCGCTCTAAGGTCTCTGAGTTAATTACTGTAAATATTGATAAGTGGTATAATTTTATTGATCAGAGCTTATTTACATTGACTACTGTTATGTAAATAAGTAATTTGTGATTGCATCTATATCTATATCTTGTAAATTGTACATATAAATATATTGATATATAAATATGAAATAAAATAATATTGTTTATTTAGAAAAAGAATACTGAATAAAGAAAATTAAAATTATTGATCTTGGATGGTAAAAAAATAATCTTGTTACAATTTTGAATAAGTATACGTTGCAGTTAAATATTCCTTTTCAATTGTACGGATATCAGTTTTGATGAAGATTCGGTTATTATGGGTATTTTCGTATATTATTTCTCACTATTTTTTCGAAAGTGAACAGCGTGTGAACAACCCCAATTAATGCCTCAGCTAACCGAGTACCGAATGAAGTAGATATTTTTTGTACAATAGGCGTCAAACAAGTTCGGTAATTTAGTTTTTAGAGGACTAAAAAATACGGCTTTATGCTCACAGATCATCTATAAAATTAAAAATTTAACCAGAAAGGCTGCAAGAGCTTTATGCTTTATCAGGCAGAAAAAACGTGTGGAGATTCAAAACACATAAACAGTTTAGGAGCTTTTATATCAAATTTCATTGCAACTGGTATTTGAACCCACAAACCACCGGCTAGTAGTCACATGCTTAACTCACACAGCTGCGACACCACTGTTATCATGTGTTTACTTTTATGAAAACCAATTCTAAAATTATTATAACATGTTGACATCCAATATTTTAAAAAAATATCTTTGCTTGAACTATACAGATATATAAATATTTGTAAATATGTACATACAAGCAGATAAGAGAATAGCTGCTTCCGCTTACACAAAATTCTTATCATTTGAAATAGTACGTATATTTAGGTATAAAAAAACTTTTAAACTTATATATTGATATAAATTTTTGTTTTTGTTGCATATGTTAAATTACTACATGTAAAGTCGGCACTTACTAGTCCAACAATGAGTCAGTAATGGTTATAAGATGTCTATGAGCACTCGTATATAATAATTATGGCGAATATTAAAAAACCGGGAATCACAAAGTAATATACCTAATATCAAAAGCGCAAACAAATATTTACTTAAGCAGCCAGGGACGGAGCGTATGCATATGACATATCGTAACTTTGTGCAAAGGCAGTGGGGCGGCAGCACTCAGACGTTTTAATTAATAAATGCGCAAAAAACGTTGCAAAATACTATTTTCCATAGCATTTGAAACGAGTTTATATGCCATTAAGTACACACTTAACCGGAAACAAAGCGGGTACCAACAATTGCGCCACAAAAATATGGCAACGCCAAGCGCCAATCAAAATTGCTGGCCTATTTCCGTCAAGTTATGCATTTTACTCACTTGACATTCGTATTAAGTTATGAAGTATATTAATAAAATTTTAGCTTTTCTTCGAATAAAATACTTATCTGCTTAGAATTTCTTTGGAAATGATTATCTATATATTATTGAGCGAAGAATTGCACGATATGAACTTGATTTTATTGCTTTATAGGTTGCAGCAAATTATTTGCACACAAAAGGGATTTTTTTAGAGTAAACAATGGCAAAAACTTAAGAAATAACAAAAATTATTCTAATAAAAAATCTCAATTCTCTATTTGTCTTGTTATTTTTGCTACTCAGTTGTACGAAGGACGGAGGCGTGCAATTGGCTAGTCATTCATTCAATAGATACACAGCTTCCGACATCACAAAAACTAATGTTGTTGTAGTAGTAGCTGGATCGACCTCTTGGCGTAACATAACCTAGTTGTATCTACTCAAAGTATTTTTATATTTAAGGTGCACCGAGGAGGTTATGCAACTTCTAGCTCATAAGAATTTAAATAGAGTTAAAGAAGTGATTTTTATTTAGTAATTATCATAAGGGGCTCATATATAAGAATGGTTGGTTTCTAGTTTAAAGGAAACAACTCGTCTCGTTAGAGCTACAATAGCGAACTTTTTATGAAGAAAAATTGTTAAGGCCTTGATTTGCTCTTGTAAAAACCGCTAACAAGTCATATAAACGATTAAAATTTACGAGAGTGATGCAGAATAGGTTATCTTCGTTTAAAAACATACAGTCAATTGTTATAAAAAGAAGTCTCAAAGAAATTTCGCTCTTTAGGGATTTTAGTTACATTAATATAACGGTAATAGAATCGTTCAAAATGTCTAGGTACTGAATATAAAAAAATAGCTCATATCGTCAAATAATACGAGAGATTTTTTAAATAACCACAACAGGTATAGCGACCGTAGACAACCTCCGATGGATTGACTCTCATTTGATGAAAACAGAGAATTATCTTTATACCCTGAAAAGGGTATATTAAGTTTGATGATTGTACCACTCAAAAGGAAAAGTCAGAAACCCTACAAAGTATATATATAAATGATCAGCGTGACGAGCTAAGTCGATTTAGCCAGGTCCGTCTATCCATCTGTCCGTCCCTTTGTATAAACATACAAGTATATACGAACTAGTCCTTCAGTTTTTAAGATATCGATCTGGCATTTCGCAGCACCAAGAAACTTTCCATCTGTCGGAAAGGTCGATATCGGACCATTATAGTATATAGTTGCCATACAAACTGAACGATTGGAATAAAAATCTTGTCAGAGTACGGTGCAACAACAAGTGCTGGTCTTTGTTTCTAGTTAATCTCTAGTCTCTAGAATAACCCCTACGTTGATGTGATCGCAAAAAAGGCTTCAATTGATTTTTTCAATTAATTGTGGATAAGAACTGACTACTGATAGATTTTAGAGGAGTCGACCAACCTTATGCGGAAAAACTTGGGCGTGGGCGTTTCGAATTTACACACACAACAACAAAAGTATTAAACTGACTATGAACTTAATTTCTTGATAAAAAAAAAATTTAAAACACTTTTGTGGCAATTCCTAAAGACAACCGTCCAGAAATGGTTGAAGAAAAGTCTAGAAAGCTTATTTAAACAAAGAATAAAGTAGGCGTAGAAAATCTCTAGAAATCTTCTTTAAAACAGTATAAAGAAATTGTGTAAATAAGAAACTAGAACGTTCTAACAACGCTATTTATTTTAAAAATGTCTTAAACAAAGGAAGTACTTATTTACAAGTACTCGGAAATGGCGTGTTCATTAATTAATAGTATTTATAGGCTAAAAACCGAATTCAAGTACCATATATATTTAAATACATACAAACATACACTATGGCACTTTTTGTGAGTGAACTGGTAAATTTTACAGTTACGCTGATTGAAGTGCAACACATTTTATTGCGAGTGTTTCCATAATTATCGTTAAGCTAAGTTATATATTAACTAATTTATTACTAAGCGTTGCAATTTTCCAAGCAAACTAACTCTCTATAAAAAGCTAAAACACAGGATAGGAAAAAGGGGAAAAAATCACATCTCTTATTTGTTTTTTACTATTGTCGTTCCATAATTTAGCAATCAGCCGACTTATCTAGTTATCGAAAATATTGAAAACGCTCATAAGGTATATATAGTAGAATATAAAATGTGAAAAAGTGTGTAATGCATGTGTGTGGGTATTATGAATGCACAATAAACTTTTCATAGGAGAACAGTATGTATGTGTATTTATTTGCATATTTACACACACACACATACCAATTCCAAAAACAAAATTTTGCCAACCATAATATAATCAATTTTCGCATATCTAAACACACCCACACAAACTGTTGTACACCTTTTTTCATATACAACACATATACACCAATACACCTACAGAAGTAAATATTAAATTATTTATAATATGTATTGCTTGTGTGTACGCAGATATGCCGATTTTTTCTCCACATTTGCACCCACTTGCATTAAAGCCGTTGGAACTGATAACGGGCCATGGACACAAGCGAGGTTATCAAGGGTGTGGTGGAAATTTCTTAACGCTCCGATAAAAGCCATGTTAACATAATGTACAATATGTAGTCATTACGGCACACTCAGACGAATTTGATCTCATTGATCTAACGGTGGTGGCGACGGCAAAAACACGAAAAACTAGAACGTTCAAACGCGCGCAAATAACTCGCAGTACAATAAGAAAGCAAAAAATATATAAATTTACCTAAAAAATACTTTATTTCAAAAAATACTATATACATAAAAAAATTTGTGAAAGGATAAGCGGTGTTCGCGAGGTTTTGGGTTTCAATTAGAAAAACGTACAGGCTTCACAATATTCAAAATGAAATTGCTAACAATTTTTGTGTTCGTGCTGCTGACAGGCATTGTTGCAGGTGAGCGCAAAAAGGATGTTGGAAGAAATACAATAATATAAAAAAAATTAATATTATAAAAGAAGTGTTTTTTTTTCTTTTAATTTTAGCAAAGAAATACACATATTTAATTAATTATAATTAATATTGAGAAATTTCTTTCAAACGAGTAATAAATAAAAAAATAGTTATGTGAATAAAAACAATAAACGTATAAGTAAATATGCAATGAAGTAATTGAAAAAATGCCGATTTGCGCTATATAGAAAGTATATAAAAATTATAAAAATAAAAGTTATAATAATATTTTTTATCTTCTTTAAAAGCAAATGAAGTAAAATATCAATAATTCGCTTAAAATTTAGTACAACAAAAAATGCGAAAATAATAAATTATTCATGAAATAAAAAAATTCAAAAAAAATTTTAATAAATGCAAAGAATTTTTAAAGTAAAAATTAAATAAAAGAAAAAAGTATTATAGCAGAATTAAGTAAGAATTAAACAAAATACAAAATAGTATAATAAAAATATGAACTAAAATATTTTTAACAAATTTAAACAATTTTAAAAATACACCAAATTTTTGAAAATTAAATAAAAACTCAAAACAATAATTAAATAAATACAAATTAAATTTTTTTGAAAGGAAGTCAACTATATTAAAATTGAAATAATATTAGTAAAAAATCAGTAAAAAAATTCAAAAACAATAACCTTGAAAAACCTAACTAAATAATTAATTTAAAAAATTGAACAATATTTTTAATAAAATTTTTTGTACTTTTATAGAATTAAATGTATTTATATTTTTATATATTTTCTCTGCACTTAGTATTTTTGCACGCACGATTTAAAAATAAATGGCAATAAGAATAAAAATATTTTATATTAATTTATTAATTATTGCAGTAACATTTTTTTTTTTATCTGAAATAAATTAATTTTGAATAAGCGAGACAAATTTTGTATATGTAGCTAGTAATAATTGCAATTTAATCTAAAAGATATTGCGCGATATTTTGCTGTATGCAAGTTTTTCCATATAAAGCCATATTATGTGTGCAAAAAAAAATTAAAGCAAAAAGTTATCAATAAATAAATCTGCTACAAAATTCAATCGATAATATGACGTCAATCAAATTTGATGAGTTACTCACTTTCATAACAAGGAGTATCATGGAAAATTATTTAGTATAAAAGAAACGCGCCTTTTCTTTTCTTTTTGTTTGAAGAAAAAACACAAAATTGTAAAAAAAAAAGTTGTTTTTATCGCAAATATTCAAAAAAATGTATTTTGATAACTTAAATTCACTTCTCGCGTTGGATGTCATTAAAAGAATGTTGTCCAAAAAGATATGCTGATCTTGCAGCAACACGGAAAATATCTTACTTTAGGCACGGAGTAGTGAGTGTTCCTCAGAGAGTATAACACTACACTCTTCGTACATATACATTTACATATGTATATAGAAACATATATAACGAACTAAATTATATTATGTATATTTTTCTATATATGTATATATAATTTTTAAAAACATAATAATTATCGTATTTTCCAAATTGATTTGACATATGATGCGCATGTTGCTCATATCAGCCGAAGTCACATTCAAATATTATATCTTATATTTGCCCACATACCTACCTACAAGTATGTATATACCCTACAAAGAATAAAACCAGTTAGATATGCCACTATCGGGTTCATACAATGAGACTCGCACACAAGTTTATTCATGTTTTGCTGATGAAACATGCTTATCAGACTCATCTGGGTGCTCAGGAAACTCCAAAGTTGATGAGCTGGCAAGAGAGCGCATCCATGTCTCGATTAGATTGGATTGAGAATTAGTTGAGTCTCCGCTGTCCTCTTGCGCGTTAGCATTGGACTTCTGAACTATCTCCTGTAGGACTGTGAAATCCTTTCTCCTCCATTTTCCAGCTTTTGCTAGACTGAGGTTGAAAGATCTGAACGGTCGTAACTTCGGCAAACCAGGTAAAATAGCCGGAATCGATATCAGCCGCCTCAACAATTTTGTGGCTAGCTCAAAACACTTTGTCAATTTTGAGAATATTTTCGATCAATACTTAGGAGTATTTAGTTAGCGCAATGGACCAGCGTTCTCGGCTGTCCAAGTGGGATCCGTTTTTGCATCGACCTTATAACCTAACCTAACCAAAATTTTAAAACACAATTATTAAGTATATTTTTTCTTTGAATAAATACAACAGTCTCAACAGAAGTCTTGGAGGGTACTGGCAATAGTACTGATACTACTGGAGAGCCAACGACAACAATTGTGACAGCTATTTCTGATTCTAGTGATACGACTACTACTGCTTCTAGTGAGCCAATTACTGTTACTAGGGAACCAACCGCACTTACTACAGATGAAACCACATCGGTAACTTCTAGTG